AGTGTTGCGATTCAGAGGGGAAATGCCTGTTGTGTCTTGGGCACTAGTCCAACTTCAGAGGAATTCGAAGAAGTGTTTGACTTGCAACAATGATCGAACCCGTCTGTGACATTCATCAATGTTTCCCATTGTTGTGTTCTTCAAGAGATCCATAACCTTTAAGCACCTTTTTGCATTATTATTTTTGTATCAACCCATGTATATCTTGTAACCATCAATATATATATATATATATATATATATATATATATATATATATATATATATATATATATATATATATATATATATATATATATATATATATATATATATTACATATACATATATTATATATTACACTAATATATATATATATATATATATATATATATATATATATATATATATATATATATATATATATATATATATATATATATATATATATATATATATATATATATATATATATATATATATATATATATATATATATATATATATATATATATATATATATATATATATATTATTATATATATATATATTTTATTTATATATATATATTATATATATAATTATATAGTTCATATGTTTTTGTATTTTTGCTGATTTGTTAGTAAATAATAAAAGAAATATAAATTATTTGATTTTTTTACCCTTAAATTGGTTTTAATATTTAAATTGAAAACAATAATATAATATAAAAAAATATAAGAAAAATAATAATACATTATAAAATAAAATATAATAAAAATAATATAATATAATATAAAATAATATAATTTAATTTCAAGAAATTTAACTTTAAACACAAAGATGTGAAAAGGGTTCAGATTAGGCTCAAACCTTTCACAAGAGATTCATATTGGTGTATGAATGGATTATGAATGACTCATGTAAGGAGTGTAAAGTTGCCACAACATCTCAAATTAGTGTTAGATACATAGGTCTTGGTTATAAGTTTTGGAAACCTATTTAAGTCCACACACAATATCGTATCTGATACGATAAAACAAACGTTTCCAATCCTTTCAAATACTTTCCAGATATGTTGTGGCAACCTAAAATTGTTTGCTGGGGTGTTCCTTGATTGTGCCTCCTAGTCTGCCGTCCGGTCTCCGGCTACCCGTTTGCGGGTATGCTGACGACACCGTTCTGTTTGTAGCTTCGGAGGGTTCTGTTGGAGCTGTCCAGGACGTTCTCCTGCGGTTTGAGTCCGCTACGGGGGCCGTTCTTAATCGGGCGAAGTCGGGGTTGATGGGGATCGGTGAGTGGGCCTCCCGCCTGGTGTGGGATAGGTCGTGGTTTCCGGTGGTATCCTCGATTCGGGTTCTTGGGGTTACTTGATTTGCCTCCTATGACCACTCCTTGGAGTGGAATTGGGGTGCTCTCTCTCGGTCGGTTGGTGTTGCGGTTGGCCTTTTGTCGCGTCGTCCTTTGACGATTTATCAGAGTGGACTGCTTATTGCGTGTAAGGTCTTGTCGCGTGTCTGGTTTGTGGCTCGATGTTTCCCGTTGGATCGTCGGAAGGCCTTGAGTTTGGAGAGTGTGGTGTACAGATATGTATGGTGTGGGCGTTATTAAAGTTCGTTCGACGTTGGTGTTAGGGGTGAGAGAGGGGGGTGTTGGCATTCCTGACGTCTTCACGAAGGCCAAGGCCCTCTTCTGGGTCTCATTGCGTCAGGGGCTGGTTCTCGGTGGGGGGTTGAATACGCTGGGTGTTTTTTTCTGCTCTCTTCGCTTCAGTTTTTTGGTTGATTTGGGGGTTTGTCAGGAGGTGGCCTTGGTTACCCCCCCTGTTTATTCTTGGGCCGTGGGGATTCTTCGGGAGCTCTGCCGCCATCCTGGGTTTCTGTCCTTCTCGTGCAAGGCTGTGTATGGGGTGTTGTTTCCCCGGGTGCGGCCTCGAGTGGAGGGTTTATTCCCGTGTTGGGATTGGGGTGGTATCTGGTCGTGTTTGGGGGCACGGTTCTTGGCGCCTCAGCAGCGTGAATTGCTGTTTCGGGTTCTGCATTTGTCGCTGGCGACAAATGAGCGGTTGTGTATGCTTGGCTTGCGTGATTCTGGGGCGTGTGTTCATTGTGGTTTAAGTGAATCGCAGGTGCATGTATTTTATTTTTGTGTCCGGTTACAGGGGTTGGTGGACTGGTTTCGGGATGTCCTGGAGGTGTTTTGTGGTCCGGGTTGTCGGGGTGATGTTTTGCAGTTTTTGTTTTTGTATTTTCCGGCTTATTCGCAGCGGGTGTGTAATACATTATGTGTTTTGGTTGCTGATTATGTGTTTTGTGTGTGGGTTGGGAGGCGGGAGGGTTTTGGGGTTGCCCGAATTTTAGGATTTTTGCGGGGGCGCATGCCGTTTACCTGGTGGTGGTTGCAGCGCGCTTTTCCGGAGGAGTTTGGTCGGTGGTTCACAGATGCCTATGTTCGTGGGGTTGCCTTTGGGTCGGTAGGTGCCTTGGTGGGAAGGTGATGTTCTCGTCTTGGGTGGGGTTGGGGTGACGATGTGGGTTTAGAGGGGTTGGGGGGTTTCGGGGTTTGCTTTGCTATGCACTCCCTTTCCGCTTCTTTGGGTGTCCTTGACGGGGGATGCGTGTGATTGTGTGTCTCCCCCCTTGAGATGCTGCTGCTCCTGTGTGTGTGTGGTGTGTTTCCGTACCTCCGGGTGCCGGTTGTGTCCGTATGCATGTGGGTGTGTGGTTTTGAGGGGGGTTTTGGCTCCTGCGTGGGCCTGGGTTTTCTGCTGTACTGTTTTCTACTGTTCTGTTTGTGGCCGTGTTTCGCTTTGGCCTGTGACCCATTATTTTGCGTGTTTGGGTGCAGTGTGGTGTGCCGTGGTGGTGTGGGTGGTATGAGTGTGTTTGTCTTGTTGTTTAGGGTGTGTTTAGTGCGTGTGTACATAATTTCTTCTCATTTAGTGTATGTCATTTTCCTGGGTAGCGCGTGTATGGTCCTATGCTCCTTTGTTCTTCTGTGTGTGTGGTAGGCGTGGTTTTGTGCACATGATTCTATATCCACGTCTGTGTATGTTTTATGTTATTGGTTCTAGGTGTGTTTAACTGTTATTTATGTACTTTATTGTTTTCTTTATTTTTCATGTAATTTTCTTTGCCATGTTCTGTGTTGCTATGTAAATATGAACTGTTCAGCCTATTGTTTCCATGTACTGTTTTAGCTCAGAATAGATCATATATTTCACAAAACATGGCAGGCAACACGTGAATAACGACCGAGTTTCCTACACCACTTAAGAGGAGAGCATGGATAAAGAACTCCAAAAGTCAACTACCGGTGGCAGGTCAGAATGTAAGGGGCCCCTCATGAAACATGGCAACCATCAAGACTATAGTGAAGCACTCGAGTCCCACCGCCAGTAACACCAGACCCCTGATTTCCTTATTTAAGGTTACAAATCCAACTCTAAACACAAATAACGGGAAGAAGACAGAAAAGCAGCACAAAACAGTGGCTTCCACTTATCCTAACACATCCCTAAAACACATGAAGGAAACCACAGAATAAAGGCAAGGCTCAGACTCCGCCGCTACCACCACCGAGGGAGCAACACCAGACAGCCGTCTACTGCGCCTTAACATCTGGAGCTCGCGGGGACTGTGGAACAAGGACTTAATACACTGGGGGTTCTGTGGTATAAGGACTTAATACACTGGGGGTTCTGTGGTACAAGGACTTAATACACTGGGGGTTCTGTGGTACAAGGGCTTAATACACTGGGAGTTCTGTGGTACAAGGACTTAATACACAGGGAGTTCTGTGGTACAAGGACTTAATACACAGGGAGTTCTGTGGTACAAGGACTTAATACACTGGGAGTTCTGTGGTACAAGGACTTAATACACAGGGAGTTCTGTGGTACAAGGACTTAATACACAGGGAGTTCTGTGGTACAAGGACTTAATACACTGAAGGTTCTGTGGTACAAGGACTTAATACACTGGGCTGCTACATAGAGGACAGCCCAGAAATATGTTTTTCCGCTCCACAGTGCTCAACTTGTGTATATTTCTTTGTCAGTTTCTTTCATATCAGCATTTCTTTTGTTCAAAAGAAATTATACGAGTTCTTCTATTGCTAAAGAACATGAAAGTAAACAAAATTCTGCTAAATTTCCATGCAATAAAATGGTTGGTTGTATAGGCAAGACATGTGGGTAACAATGATGGTTGTATAGGCAAGACATGTGGGTAACAATGATGGTTGTATAGGCAAGACATGTGGGTAACAATGATGGTTGTATAAGCAAGACATGTTGGGTAACGACGATGGATGTATAGGCAAGACATGTTGGGTAACAATGATGGTTGTATAGGCAAGACATGTGGGTAACAATGATGGTTGTATAGGCAAGACATGTGGGTAACAATGATGGTTGTATAGGCAAGACATGTAGGTAACAATGATGGTTGTATAAGCAAGACATGTTGGGTAACGACGATGGTTGTATAGGCAAGACATGTTGGGTAACGACGATGGATGTATAGGCAAGACATGTGGGTAACAATGATGGTTGTATAGGCAAGACATGTGGGTAACAATGATGGTTGTATAGGCAAGACATGTTGGGTAACAATGATGGTTGTATAGGCAAGACATGTGGGTAACAATGATGGTTGTATAGGCAAGACATGTTGGGTAACAATGATGGTTGTATAGGCAAGACATGTGGGTAACAATGATGGTTGTATAGGCAAGACATGTTGGGTAACAATGATGGTTGTATAGGCACGACATGTGGGTAACAATAATGGTTGTATAGGCAAGACATGTTGGGTAATGACGATGGATGTATAGGCAAGACATGTGGGTAACAATGATGGTTGTATAGGCAAGACATTTTGGGTAACAATGATGGTTGTATAGGCAAGACATGTTGGGTAACAATGATGGTTGTATAGGCAAGACATGTGGGTAACAATGATGGTTGTATAGGCAAGACATGTTGGGTAACGACGATGGATGTATAGGCAAGGCATGTGGGTAACGAAGGAGAATACTACCTGTGTGGAATAGAATCCTCCTTGGCCATTCCTCTGCGCCGTGATCCACTTGACCACCTTCCTAGCCTGCTGCTCGTATTGTTTAGGGTCAAGGGTCATCATGGCCATGATGGCGTAGCCAGCTGTTTCCACCCCTACAGCCTTCGTCTTGCCTGATTATACAATACGTAATTGTTGTATGAAACATATCAATCATTTGGACACAGGTAAAATATATCCCTGACCACAAGACACGTAGATAATAAATTTTTTTCGCTTTGCCCATCAGAGCCTCGAACCCAGAACCAACAAAGCAGAAGACTTGTTCTACCAACCAAGCTACGAGCACCCACAATAAGGGAGGAGCTCAGAGAGACAGCTGGTTTCTCAGTCAGATACCAGTTGTGGTGCTTGTAGCCTGGTTGGTAGAACTAAAGTTGTCTGCTTTTGTGGCATTTGGTTCGAGGCTCTGATGGTCTACGTGAATGAAATGTAAAATAAATTAAAACAAATGCTGTAAACAATCATCTTAAAACTAAAATTCTATTTAAAACTTCTTTTTAACCGAACAAAATTTATTACGTGAATATTTTGATTAGGCTGCAAATATCAAGCCACAATACACGGGTTCTTTGATTAGATATATTTATATTGATTTACCTGTGTTTATTTTCAAATATAAATTTTTCTAGGAGTTACATTTAATAATAAAATAATGAATGACATTCGTCTCAATTTTGTTTTGGATTTTAGCTTTATTTAAGGCCTATCAAGCTCGCCTAAAATTATAACCATAACTACTTGTCAGTACAACCAGCAAGATTATTCAGTCGTAAGCAAAGTTAAAGAGAAAATAAATATAGTGCTTACGCACTTACTAAGGTAACACCTTATACCCTTCTTCCCCCGACTATACCTGGTCCCTTGGGCAGCTCCCAGTGAGTGGAGTTCTTTGTCACAACAGCTTGTTCCAGCAATTTCTGGAGAATTACTTCGGCTTCAGGAAGCTTAGCCAAGGCGAAAGCATAGGCTTTGAGCGCCATAACGTAGGGGTCAGAGGAGGAGTCTGCTTGTAGACACTGGGCAGCCAAACAGTCGGCCTGGCTGCATGACTTGTCATTGGCCTCCAGGAGAGCAATCATCACATAGGCTGTTAGAGGCACGGGAGAGTCACTTCCATCAATTCCTCCCTGTTAGAAATGTGATAACATATTGTTATAGGATCGCCTGAGTGTTGAACTCTACTGCATGTTCTTGCAAATTCAATCATCAGTTCCTAACACAACTTACTTTCAATTATTTCATTCTGAAAATCTTCCTCCTCCTTTAACCTTAAATTGCGCATCGCATCATATGATGCTTTGACCGACTTTAAGTAAATTACACATCGCATCATATGATGCTTTGGAGTACTATGCCAGATTTAAACGGCCCGCGGATACACGGGGGTTCACCACACCTTCATCAGGGCTCTTGTAAATAGACGCCATTTTTTAAAATCGTGGGCCAAATTCCCGGGTGTTAGGGGCCTTAGTATTGAGCAAGCTACCAAGCCTGACGCATGCAGCATGAGCTCACAGCACTGCTGTTCAGCTTGTGACCACAACATCGCCTAAAAATGCCATAATATACTTGTTCATGCTATTATGTAGTGATGATATTATTACAGAAAACCCCTGACTGTGATAAAACTGACCAGGGTTCTGATAATAGCAGGATTGTGGTGATATTTAGCATTGTGCTCCAAGGAGGGAGGAGTAATGCAGTGGGAGGGAGGGTAGTGGTGCTGTCTTCTGACTGTGTGTGGTCACCTTTTATTGACTGCACTCACCATACCAGCTTAGTGGTTCGCTATGGTGAACACAAATGTAGATACTTATATATAACGTGTGTATAGAGGGTATAAATAGCGAGAGGAGTAGGTTGGGTGCCGCCATTTTGGTGAGTGCGGTGGCGTCGTCTGCACGACTTATCATGTTGTTTACTGGTGACCACGATGGTCTTTGGGCACCATACCAGTTTACTTGTACAAGTATGATGAATAAAACAGGTAGATACTTATACATAATGTGTGTATATAGCATAATAACACCACAAACAGTAATGTTGGAGGAGAAATATTAGTGAGCCTGGCCTTGAGGGCGGCAGCCACCAGCTGACTGTGTGAGTAGCTATGTCTTTGTGCCTTTACTCACCATACAAGCTTAGATATACAGTTATGGTGAACAAAACATGTAAATACTTATATATAACGTCTGTATATAAAAGCAAAAACAGTATGGTGGGAGGAGAATGGTGGGGAGTCAGGTGAGGTGAGGGAGGGAGGGAGTGGCACCCAGTGGCGGGCTGCCACTGCCACTCAGCATGCCAACTTAGTGGTTCGTTATGGTGAACACGAATGTAGATACTTATATATAACGTTTGTATATAGTGAATAAAAGCAAAAACAGTATGGTGGGAGGAGAATGTGGGCAAGTGAGGTGTTGAGGGAGGGAGTGAGTGGCTGGCTGGTGTGTGGCGGTCACTCCTCGTTAATTTTTGACTCATAATAGCAACTTAGTGGTTCGTTATAGTGAACAAAACATGCAGATACTTATATATAACCTGTACATATAGTGTAATAACCGACAAAGTATTATGTTTGATGAACATAATTGAATCAACAATATGTACACCATATTTTTGAGTACAGCGATGATTCACTCATTTTATTATATAAATATATCACAATACACACTATTGAATAATATTACAGCAAAAAAACTATGAAAAATCAATCAGAGACATTGAAATAATTAGGTAATTATCTCTTTGTGGCAACTCAGGCCTGACAGCTGGTGAGCAACAGACCGCCTGGGACTCACGCTGAGTCAGCGCCTGTTTTTTGCCAGACTTCCCCGTCCTATAGCGGGCAATATATGCCACTTACGATTTTTTTATTATTTTTCCCATGATCAGTGAATACAAATTAACAGGTTAGGAAGAAAAAATATATTTTTTTTTGTATGCGCCTGTGGGTGTCAAATGTCAACAGCCATGCGCCATTTAAGGGTTAATATCTAACACTTCTATAGCATATATTTTTTAAATTGTGAATGACTTAGGAAAATTATAACCGCTATTTACTTACATTTGAAAGTTCTGAAAACTTGCACTGAAATAATGGAATGCCTCTTTCTGGGGAAAAGGGTCTCAGGGACTTGCAGTAGCTACCAGAACTGAGAGTTCCACACATTCCAGTTACATCAGCCCTTATAAGCCCTCAAAAGTGTACTGGAAACCAAAGGCCAAAATCTTGAACCATCGCAGACGTGCAGGGGATTCACGATCACTTTCACCAAAGAATTAAACCCCAATAAAGGAAATGAAGCAAAACAGACAAATGCAAAGTTGAAAGAAGGCAAACAAACAATGCAGCAAACTATTCGACAAACAATCCGCCCAGTAGTTTGGTCTTACATCCCCTAGTAACAGCTACTCATCACCAGGTGGCAGGACCACGGAAACTACTGGCTTTCCCCTATCATCATTCCTGTCCTAAGTCAGTAAGAAACCAACCAACTAATGAGGAGATTCACCCTCTGTCGCCAGAGGGTGTGGATGTCGAACTCTGGCTGCCTGTAGCTGTTTGTCGCTGCTTAGTAGTGGCTGCCCGTTAGTGTGGAGTGCCTGCTGGCCAGGGCAGCGGTTAGCAATATGGCGGCGGCTGGTAGTGGCCGCATCCGCCGTGTAAATACTGTCCAATTGGATTTTTCTGCTACGGTGAATTGGGAACATGTGGCGGTTGCACTTTTGGATGCATTTGACTTGAAGATTCCGGATCTCCTCGGCCTTGAGAAGTTTTACCACGTTTGTTGGCTGTGTGCAGTTTGTGGAGCGTTGGAATGAGCGAACGGTTCCCCTCCCTGGTACAGCTCTATCAGTGGCCGTCTCTTATCTGTGGGCCCCCTGACCTTTGTGAGTGTGCACGGGATGCATGTGACTTTTCCAGAAGCGGAGCTTGGCTCGGTGTTTGCGAGGTTTGGTATGGTGCTACGGCAGCTGCAGGGTCTCCATCTGGGTACTCGTATGCTGCAGATGCGTCTCACGGGGTCCATCCCTTCCAAGCTTTTATGTTGTGGTGTTTATCTCCATGTTTTTTATCATGGTCAGGCCCTCACTTGCTTCCAGTCTGGGGAGAAAGGCCACGATGCGGCCCGGTGTGATGTTCCTCGCATGGAGGCCGCTTCTGTTTTTCGGGAGGAGGATTTCCCTCCCAACCCCCTAGGTGTGCGGACTGCCTCCCCGGAGGGTCCTCATCCTGGGGGCTTGCCTGGTGGTGTACCTGCGGCGGATGTGCCTGCTATTCCATCTGTGCCTGGGGTGTCTCCTGTGCTGGCTTCGGTGGAGGACATGGCTGCCCCTGCTTCGCGTCTTCAGCTTCCGGTGTAGGCGGAGGAGCATCAGGTTCCTGGTTCTTCCGTGGTGGTGTGGGTGTGATGCCGGTGCTTCCCATTGAGGGGGTGTGCTTCCTGCGGATGGGGGTGTCGTCGTCTCCCCGGTGGTTATCCTCGATGGTGGCGGCGTTCCTGATGCCTGTGTTGCACGGCCACCTTTTGCCCCTCTTGGCAGTGTGTTCCGTGAGGGGGCAGTGTGCTCCCCTGCCCCTCACCAGAAGTGCACTTCAGGGGTGGGGGCGGGGGGCTCGCGCAGTAGGGAGCCCCCTGGCAAGCAGGTTGAGGCTTCGCAAAGGCTTGGCCTCGGATGGTGCCCCCTCCCTTCCTCCTAATTCTCCTGCATCTGCTGAGGATTCCGGAGGTGATGTGGTGCCTGATGGTGGCGCACTTTCCTTGATGATGGTGGGCTTGAGTGGTACCAGGACAGTGGCGGCAGGGTCTCGGCAGGCTTTACTGGGTGATACCGGCACCGTTCGCTTCCTGAAGGTCCGAGGCCCGGAGTTTCTGTGGGTTCCTCCTCCATGGAGCAGCAGGCATTGGCCCTCGCTTTGCAGACCCTGCCTCTGCAGTGAGTGCCGGTGTTACCCCTGGTGGGCCTGTGGGGTTAGGGGGTCCTTGATGGGTTTCAATTGCACTTGCTTTTGTTTGCGCGTCTTTGAATGTACGTGGTCTGAATGTGCTTGCGATCCAGTTGGGCCTTGTGGATGTGCTTTGGGAGCAGCGTGTGGATGTGGCGCTGATCCAGGAGCACAATGCTCGGGATGTGTCTGTTCTGCCAGGGTTGTGTGCTGATTTTCATATTGTGTTGATCCTGCCGAGAACGTCCTTTGGGGGGACGCTCATGTTATTTTCACGGAGGGCTTCTATTTCCGTGCCTCACACGGAAATGGATGAAGATGGGTGGGTCTTATTTGTGTGGGCAGAGTTTTGGGGGGTTGGAATTCTGTTCTTGACGGTGTACAGGGGTGGCACATCGTTGGGACCAGGAACTATTTTTTCGGGAGGGGCTACCGCCCTTCCTCTGGCATGATACGAGGGATTTGATCTTTCATGGGGATTTTAATTGCGTCACGAGTGTGCGGAATATTTCTAGTGCCCACCCGCAGAATGTTTCGGCCGCTTTGTGTGAGATTTTGCGTTCATGCGGTTTTCAGGATACTGCCGTTTTGTGTGGCAGCCCACTGGAGAATACCTTCGCTGCATGTCGGGCATGTTCTAGGATAGATAGGTTCTATGTTTCTCGTGGGAAGTGTTCTGTGTTGGACCTTCGCACGGTCCCGGTGGCTTTGTCTGATCATTGTTTGGTGGTGGTCCGGGTTGGTGTCTGGATACAGGTCTGGGTTGGTAGAAACTTAATTGCCGGTTGTTACGTTGTCCGCGTATATGTGCCCAGTTTTTTGTCTGGTTGGTTGGGATCCTTGCCTGGAGGGCTGCCTTCTCTTCTCTCTTCGTTTGGTGGAAGTGGTGTAAGGTGAAGTGTTGGAGGTTTTTTGTCGCTAAGCAGGAGGCAGCCAGGAGGTTTGGCCTGCTGCGGGTTGCTTCAGGCTCGACTGTCTAGTGTGTATGTGCAGTTGAATGCTGGGGTTTACTGCTTTGGGGAGATTTTTTAGTGTAAGGAGCGTATTTGTAGGTTGCATACAGAGTTGGCTGAAGGAGTTCGGGTGTGTGCTCGTGTGGCTGAGCGTGTGGATGGGGAGAGGCTCTTCCCCCTTTCTTTTAGGGTGGGAGAAGGCTGCGAGGGATTCTGTTCTTCT